CTGGGGTCCTCTCGGCCTGGCCTCCGGGGACCCTGTGCGCTGTGACCTTGGGCCCTGCTCAGAGGAGGGCAGTGTGGCAGGCACTGACTGAGTCCCTTTAGGGACACTGTGTCCAGCTCAGGTGACTGCCAAGGAGTGAGCCCCGTCCCCAGACAGGAACATGCCCGCGGTGCAGGCTGGCCTGTGACCTGTGCTCCTCAGTCACTACCCTCTTCAGTTCAACGAGGGGCTCAGGGAGGTTGTTTGCTGTCCTTGCTTGTGTACGAAGGCGGCCACTGCCCTCTGACCTCGTCGTGGAAGTATCTTTCCCCAGAACATGATGAGACCCAGCTTGTAGTGTGGGCAGAAGGGACCACAGCACTGGGGGCCAGCAGGGACATCCCCAAGCCAGCTCCTTAAGAGGGGAGTGGGAGCAGTGTGGACAGCGGTGACCACGCATTGATGCCAGCCGTGGAGGAGCTGGTCAGGCCCTGCCATCACTGAGCTCTCCTCGGGCTCAAGGACGGGGCCAGGGTCAGGACCTAGTCTGGGACAGGGTGATGGGGGGCCTGGCAGGGGGAGACTTTGAGGTGGGGCACAGGCTGTGCCTTCGAGCCTCACCCCACTTCATTAAGATGGGCACGCCGCCGCTGTTCCATCTTAAGGGACCTGACCGGAGGAGCCCGTGGGCCCTCTGCAGCCCTTGGTGCCCGTGCCAGGTGTCCCAGAGGTCACACGGGGAATACCGAGAGGCCTCGCTCCCCACTCGTGCCCTGGAATAAACAGCAAGAATGATTGATCAGTTTAAAAATAGAGGACTAGGAATTAATTAGACTCTTGAAAAACAGATTAGGCGTAATGACAGTCTTCAAGTCAGCCATTCATCGGGGTGGGGCGCTGCGGGGGCTGCAGGAGGCAGAGGAGACAGAGCGTGGGGCTGGGGAGCTCAGGGGTGGGGGTCTGGGCAGCGTGGGGTCAGCCGGAAGTTGTGCTAGGCTTTGACCTGAGCACTTCACCTGCGGCCTGAGGGAGCCCTGTCCTCTGTTAACTGAGCATGGTGGTGTGGGTGTCACCACAAGGTGCAGTCATCACCTCCAAGGCTAGATGGGTGCCTGCTCAACAGGTGCTCAGTCCAGAGATTCCTGGTACGGTGCTGGCCCAGGACAGGCTTCCCACTGGGCTCTGTAGTTCACGGTAACCCAGCAGGGCACAGTGCTCTCCCCAAGGACGGGCTCCCCAGTGGTCACTGTTGTTCGTGGTCATCCAGCAGGGCACGGTGCTGTCCTGGGGACAGTCTCCCCACTAGGCACTGTTCACGGTCACCCAGCAGGACATGGTGCTGTCCCTCTCCTGGGGACAGGCTCCCCAGTGGGCACTGTTCACAGTCACCCAGCAGATCACGGTGCTGTCCCAGGGATGGGCTCCCCATTGGGCACTGTTGTTCACGGTCACCCAGCAGGGCACGGTGCTATCCCTGGCACTGGCTCCCCAGTGGTCTCTGTAGTTCATGGTCACCCTACAGGGCACGATGCAACTCATAGCAACCCCGTGAACAACAGCTCCGAATCCTGCACCGTCCTTGTCATCTCGGAAACGCCCGAGCCCATTGCTGCAGTCAGTGTGTCCATCGTGTTAAGTGCCTTCCTCTCTTTTACCAACCCTCCAAGCGTGATGTCCCTTTGCAAGGAGTAGCCAGAAGGAAAACAGAAGCCTTTGAACTGTGGTGTTGGAGAAGAGTACGGAACATCCCATGGGTTTCCAAAAGAACAGATGTGTCTTGGAGAAACTGAAGCCACAGTGCTCCTTGGAAGCAAAGATGACCAAGCTTCGCCTCACATACTTTGGATGTGTTGTTAGGAGAATAAACCTTAGAAGCATGAAATGAGGCAGCTTCAAAAGGAGAAACACACAGTGACCCCATTTGTGTGAACGCTCGGTGGCTGCCCTCCACGTCATCCCCGGCCCACGGACCTCCGCTCACCTGGGAATGAAGTGCTGTCCGGCACCGGCGCCCTTGTCGGTTCCAGACCTCCCTGTGCTGGGCCCCAGGGCTCTGGCTCGCCTGCTGGTGGACGCAGACCACCAGGCCTTTTCCTCCTAGGCCATTTTGTAGTCTGGATGCTGTGATAAAACCTGTTCAGTGTCACAGGACCGTGTTGGCTCCCGCCAACGCATGGATGGTGGCTCTGCGCGAGAAGTATTGACTGAGACTTCAGCCCAGGAATCTGCTCAGCTGGGAGCTAGGGCCCCGGGGCGGTTAAGGGCAAGCAAAACCTTTGGTATTGAACTGCATGGTATTCTCCGATCAGATAAATGAGAGTTCGTGGCCATTGCCATGTCCATTTCGTAGTTGGTAGCATTTGTGTTGGTTTGGGAAGGAGAGAAACCCTAGTGCTGATTACAGTTCTCTCCACCGTTTGCTCCATGGGACAGAGGTGGCCGGCCACATCTGCAAGGATCGCAGCTCTGGGGACAGTGGGAGCAGGTCTGCTCTGTCTACGGGGCGCTGTGAGTTGAAAGTGACTGTGGTGAGAGGTCAGTGTTCAAGGAAGCACTGGGGGCTCACTGAGTTCAACCACTAACTGAAAGGTCCCTGGTTCGGAGCCCCCAGCTGCTCCTCAGGACGGTGTGGCAGGCAACTTTAGAACCTCAGGGCAGCTCTGCTCTGTGTCAGGATCATGAGAGCTGAAATCATCTCGAGGGGAGTGGGTGGGTTTGGGAAGAAGAGTGGCAGAGACAGAATCCAGGCCGACTGTGGTCACAGAAACATCTAGAAGCCTCAGAAGGCAGCTGGTTGTTGTGGGCTTTTTTTTTTTAAACACCTGGGTGACACATTGACTGACCAGACAGGGCTGGTGTTGGGTGCCACGGAGTTGACTATAATTGTTATTGTTATTGTTTGTGTACAAGTCAGAGCTGGCCCTCCAGCAGGTTTTCAGAGGCAGTAAATTGCACGGGAGGAGACTGCCCATCTGTATTCTGCAGAGCAGCTGGTGGATTTGAACTATGCGCCTTTGGGATTGCAGCACAGCTTCTTTACCACTAGGCCACCTTGCCACCAAATGGCTCACTGTCTCTAACACACCTAGCCCCATTGCCCCAGTCACTGTGTCAATCCATCTCATCTGGGGTCTTTCTCTCCTGTGTTGTCCCTCCGCCCTTCCACACATAACGTCCTTCTTAAAGGACTGGTCCCTCCTGGCCATGTGACCAAAATATGTGAAATGCAGCTTCCAAATCCTTGCCTCCAGGGAGAAACTTGGTTTCACCCTTTCCAGAGCAGACCTGTCCTCTTGACAGTCCATGGTATGTCCAGTACTTTCTCCAGCACCACAACTTAAAGACATCAATTCTTCTGCCTTCCTTACTGTCCAGCTCTCTGATGCATAACAAGTAATTAGTCTGTAGACATCACTTCTCTTCAGCACTCTGGAGAGGTCTCTGACAGCAGATTTTCCCCAATGCAATTTGTCTTTTGATTTCCTGACTGCTGGTGCCAAGAGTGTTGATAGTAGAACCAAGCAAGTGGAAATTGTTAACAACCTCAGTCTCTTCTCCATCTATTGGCCCAGTAGTGAGAATATTTATTTTCTTGATGTTGTTGAACTTCAGTCCATATTGAATGCTGCAGCCCTTGACCTTCTGCAGCAAATGCTTCAGGTCCTCCTCTGTTTCAACAAGCAAGATTGTATCATCTGCATAATGCAGGTTGTTGGTGAGTCTTCCTCCAATCCTGATGCCACATTCCTCCTCTTAAAGCCCAGCCTCCCGAATGATCTGTTCTGCATACAGATTGAAAAGGCATGGACACAGGATGCATCCTGATACGCTCCTTTCTTGATTTTGAATGATGCAGTGTTGTGGGCTCTGTTTTGATGGCTGTTTCCTGATCTGAGTATAGGTTTCACATAAGCACAATCGAGTGTTCTGGGCTTCCCATTCTCCTCAGACACAGTTTGTTGTGATCCACACAGTCAAATGCCTTGGCACAGCCTTTGTCCTGTCCTCGCCAGCTGACATGCCTCGCCCACTGTTACCTCTTTGTCAGTCCATCTTGTTGAGGGTCTTCTCTTCCTGTGGCCCTCCACCTACCAGCATGGTACCCCTTTCCAAGGAATACCCTCTTCTAGCAACATGCCCGAAGTATAGGAGATGAAGTTTCACCGTCCTCGCCTCTCAAGAACACCTTGCATTGTGCTTTCTCCTAGACCAGTTTGTCCGTTTTGCAGGCCACGGGCTGCTCAGTGCTTGTCCCGCACCGCAGCCCAGAGCCATTGATTTTTCAGCCTTCCTTATTGTCCAGCTTTCAAGTGAACGTGAAGCAGTTGCTGTGGTGCACTGGTGAGCCCTTGCTGGGCGTCTCAGTCCCTTGGTGCATGGGTGCCCTGCCCTCCTCCAGCCCGAGCACCTCATGGCCCGTGCACCTCTGTGTCTGGAGCTCTGGCCACATCTCCCTTTGCAGTCTTCTCGCCCTGTGGGGTGGACTCAGTGGGCCCCAGCTTCTCAGTGTCGCTGTTTTCACGTGTGTGAGTGTCTCCCCCTCGTCTGGCCGTTGAGGCGCACAGGGTCTGTGACTCATCCCGGGGACCCTTGGTGAGGCCTTGGGCTGCTCCTGGTCCACCGTCAGAACTGACCCTGTGCAGCCAGCAGGAGCTGACCCTGACGACAAGACCCACCCGGAGAGGCTGCATCCTGACCCTTCAGCACCTGGACCAGTGGAGCCCAGCCAGCTCCATGCAGCCGCCCTCACTGCTGCTGCTTCAGGGACCAGTCTGGAGCCCCCTGAGTCTCACTTGTTACCGGTCTGACGCCTCCGTCTTGTGCTGGAACAATCCAGAAGCCGCAGAGCTGCAGGAGAGGCTCCTTCCGGTGGGAGGACCAGTGTGTCTGTCCTGTGGCAGAGCCGGCAGGCAGTCTGTCCCGCCCACCCAGTGCTCACGGACTCTCGCACCCCGTCTTGGTCTCTGCAAGAATTCCCTGTTCTTTTTTTCCACTCCTTTGGAATTGGGGAGTCCTGGCAGCGTAGTTTGTAGGGGGTCCTGCTGCTGACTAAAGTGCTGGCCACTGACGGTTCGACTCCACCAGTGGCTTCACGAAAGCCCAGTGGAGGGTCAGCTGGGAGCCGACAGTGGCAGCGAGTTTGATGAGCTCTGGGTTCCTGGAGCTCTGGTGGCACCATGTGCAGTGAGTTGTGATGCTGCCCAGAGGCCGTGGATCTCTGATGGTTCGAATCCACCTTCGGCTCCTTGGGAGAAAGCTGGACAGTCTGCTCTTGTTAATGATTTGCTGTTGGGGGCCGTCGAGTGGACTGTGACTCCCAGCGACCCTATGAACTACGGCGCTGAACGCCGTCCTCTGCTATGCCAACCTCACCACCTCTGACACCCCTGCCCCCCATGGCCGCTGTCACGGTGTTAGTCCATCACGTCCAGCATCTTCCTCTCCTCCGCTGACCCTCCACCCTTCCAAGCACCATGTCCTTCTAGGACTGGTCCCTCCTGGTGACATGTCAGTGATACAGCCGCAGAAACCTGATGGGAGGTGGCTGTGAGTTAGAGGACCTTTCAGCCCTGCAGCAGGTTGAAGTAGCCCTTCTGGTGGGTGGTTAAAGGCTTCAGCTTCTAACCCAAAGGTCAGCAGTTCAAACCCAGCAGCCTCTGCTCAGGGGAGAGGTGAGGGAGTTCTGCTTCTGTAAGTACTAACAGCCCTGGAGACACCGCGGGCTGGGCTCTGTCTGCATCTGTCCAGGGACAGCGTCGGTGAGTGGGAGTCAACTCCACAGCAGGGGTGGGTGGGGAGGATGTGGATGGACTTGGGGCCCCCAGGATTGTGTTAGGACCCTCAGTGCTGAATGGATAAACACTCAGCTACTAACCAAAGGCTTGGCGCTTCAGACCCACTGGACGCTCCAGGGGAGGAAGGTCTTGACCATCTGCTGCCATGACGCTTTCGCCTGGAGTCCCTGGCCATGCTGGCACCCCAGCGGCCCCCTCTCTGAAGACATGGCCCTTCTAGGCTCTGGGCAGCCACCTGGCCCTGGACGTGGAGGGAAGGTTTGCTTTGTGCTGACCCCCAGCGCATCTGTCCAGTTCCTTGTCCTAACGGCTGAGTCGCAGGACCCTTCACGCTCAGAGAACGAGAATCATCCTGTATCTTCTTTCCAAAGAAATACATGTGATCACCCCAAACCCTTCTCTGCCATGGCAACAGTTGTGTGCAGTCGAGACAGAATCCACCTAAGGCCGACCCTCCGGCAGCTTTTCAGAGGCAGTGAGTTGCACTTGGGGAGACTGTCTGTCCTTCCACAGAGCAGCTGGAGGATTCGAGCTGCGAACCTCTGGGATTGCAGCCCAGCGTCTTAGCACCAGGCCGCTGGAGCTCGCTCTGTGTGATAGGAAACTATGGTGCTTCTGCTGGACAGTTTGCTGAGAGACTTCATGAGCAGATGACCAAATGGAAGCGGTGAGTGAAGCAGGTTTCTACGAGTCCCGCTGAGGTGTGGCTGATTAGAAAGCCTAGCCGGGGCTGGTGTGGAAAGGTCCAGAGCATCCCAGTGGCTGGGCCCGTGCAGGGTGCTGTCCTGCAGATGCTGTGTGCATCAAACCCATGTGCACAGAGCTGAACTGTCCTGGGAGGGGCATGCTGGCCTGTAGAGGCTGTGTGGATCGAACCCCTGTGTGTGGAACTGAGCTGTCCTCCACGGAACATCCAGGGCTGCAACCCTTCACAAGCAGGTCTCCTAGCCTTCCTCTGAAGTGCTTCCAGGCGGGTTTGAACCGCCAACCTTGCTGGTTAGTAGTCAAGCACTTCGCCGTTTGTGTCACCCAGTGACTCCTATAATAGAGCACAAAAATGTAGGAGACAAGCCCGCCATGAAGACCGTCCATAAGCCGAGGACCAACGAGGGAGGAGCCTCTGGGTAGAGACGCTGATGTGGGCCCTTAGCATCCAGAACATAGAGGATGCCGTGACATCAGACAGGAGGAAATGACAAGGTCGTTAGAAAGAAGGCAGCCCATCCCACAGGGATGTCAGGAGTGAGCTGGCGCCCTCCTCACTGTGCCCACGTCGCCGGCCACCCGTCTCCACAGCCTGCCATCGGGAGTAGCCCCAGTGCTGAGGAATGTTGAGCTTGAACGTGACTTTGCTGCCTGCCTACGAGAAGGCCACATCTTTGTGCTGCTTTTCTAATGGGACGATTCAGTGGGTGTGGCTTATTCTAAAGGCTGTAAGACCATCCTTCTGCAATCCTGCACCACTGTCATCATCCCCGAATGGCGTGCTTAGAGGGCACATCTGCCTCCTCGCCTCTGTCAGCTCCCTGTCTGCTTCTGTAGATTCGTGTCTCCTGTAGATTTTTCCGGTCTGAACGTTTCACGTAAGTGGAACCCGACAACGGGCTTGTCTGACTGAGCACAATGCTTTGGAGGACCATCCCTGTTGTAACGTGGTCAGCACTTTATTTTTTCTGGGACTGAACAGCATCCCATTGGACGGATGGGCCACATTTTGTTTATTCATTCTTCAGTTAATGGACGTGTAGATTCTTTCCACTCTTTGGCTGATAGGAATAATGCTGTTCTGAGCATTCATTTACAAGTGGTTTTTAATATATTTGGTGTGAAGTCCTGGATGTGCTCACCAGTCTGCTAGGAAAGTGGGAGGACGGCTGCCTCGCCGACTGACTGCAAGGGATCCGTATTTGTTCCTCTTCTCAAGAAAACGGACCCAACACAATGTGGAAATTATGGAACAAACTACTACTGAAGGTCAAAATGGCTACAACAGTACATTGACAGAAAATTGCCAGAAGTTCCAGTGGGGTTTAGAAGAGGTTATGGAGCTAGGAATAATGCTGATGACAGATGGGCCCTGGATGAAAACAGAGAACACCAGGAGGGTGTCTACTTGTGTTTTATTGACTATGCAAAGGCGTTTGCCTGTGTGGATGATAATGAACCATAGCTGCCATTGAGAAGAATGGAAACCCCAGGACACGTAATTGTGTTTTATAAAATCTATACCCAGATCAAGAAGCTGTTGTATAAATGCAGCAAGGGAACACTGTTGTATTTAAGTGCCATCAAGTCAAGTATAACCATAGCAGCCAAATGAACAACAGATCTGAACCCTGTCCTATCCGGTGTCCTCATACGTTCTGACACACTAGAGCCTATTGCAGCAGTTACTCTATCAACCCACCTGGTTGAGAGTCTTCTTCCCCTTTGCTGACCCACCTTTCTGAGCATCATGTCCCTCCGAAAGGGAATAGCCCCTCCTAGCAGCATGCCCAAAGTGTGTGAGGCAAAGATTCATCATTTTTGCCTCCAAAGAGCATTCTGGCTGCATCCTCTCCAAGAAATATTTGTGCTTTTGTCTGTCCATGGCATGTTCAAGACTCTTCTCCAGTGCCACAGCTCAATAGCATCAATTCTTCTGTCACCCTTATTCATTGTCCAGCTCTCAGATGCACAGCAAGTGATCGGAAAGACCATGGCCTGAATCAGACGCACCTTAGTCCTCAAACGGACATCATTAGTCCTCAGTAATTTGGAGAGATCCCTAGTCTGCAGTTAGGGAACACATCACATACAAGCAAAATGCTACTAGATACCATTAAAAAATGTCTGGAACAGTACAAAGATAAGGAACTGCCAGAAGTTCAAGCAAGATTTAGAAGAGGCTGTGGCACCAGGAATATCACTGTGGATAGATGGATCCTGGCTGAAAGTGAGGAATGCCAGAGGAATTTCTCTGTGTGCTTTCTTGACGATGCAAAAGTGTTTGACTGTGTGGATCATGGCAAGCTGTGGCTGACCTTGAGAAGAATGGGAATCCCAGAGCACTTGACTGTGCTCATGCGGGACCTGGACCTGGACAAGGAGGCTGTTGTGCGAACAGAGCAGGGGAGCGCTGCGTGGTTTGGAATTGAGAAGGGAGTGCACGAGGATTATATTCTGTCTCTCCACACCTATTCAATCTGTATGCTGAGCAAATTATCTGAGAAGCTGGATTCTATGAGGAGGAGTGTGGCATCAGTAACCTGCATTACGCAGATGACAACCTTGCTTGCTGAAAGTGAAGAGGGTTTGAAGAACTTGTAGAAGATCTAGAAATGCAGCCTTCGGTATGGACTGCATCTCAATGTCAGGAAAGCAAAGATCCTTACCACTGGACTGCTGGCAGCATCGTGATTGATGGAGAGGAGATTGAAGCTGTCAACAGCTTCATCTTACTTGGAGCCACAGTCAGAAAATAAGGAGATGTATTGCACTGGGAAAATCTGCAGATAATCTTCCAAAGTATTAAGGAGTAGTGATGTCAGTTTGAAGACTAAGGTGCATCTGATTCAGGCCATATTCTTTCTATTACTAGCTATGAATCCGACAGCTGGACAATGAAGAAGATTTGGTGCTTTTGAGCTGTGGTGCTGGAGAAGAGCACTGAACATTCCATGGACGGACAGGAGAATGAATAGATATGTCTTGGAGAGGGGGCAGCTGGTGTACTCTTTGGAGGCAAGAATGATGAAGCTTCACCTCACACATTTCGATATGTTGCTAGGAGGTGCTATTCCTTAGAAAAGGACATGATGCTGGAAAGTTTGGAGAGTCAGTGAAGGAGAGGAAGACCCTCAACCACGTGTATTGGCACGGTGACTGCTGCACTGGGCTCCTGTGTCTCAGGAAGTGTAAGGATGGTGCAGGAAAAACAGGGTTCAGATCTTTTGTTCACAGGGTCGCTATGAGTCGTGCTTGACTCAATGGCCTCTAACAACAACAACAACAGTAACGTGATTCAAAATCAAGAAGGATGTGCATCAAGGATGTAGCTTATGCTGAGCAAATAATTTATGAAGCTGGACTCTATGAATAGAGATATGGCATCATGATTGGAGAAAAACTGATTAACAACCTGCATTATGCAGATGACAGAACTTTGCTTTCTGCAGAGGAGGAGGACTTGAAACACTTGCTGCAGAAGACGCAGGACCACAGCCTTTGGTATGGATTACATCACAACTTCAATAACACAGAGATCCTCACCCCTGGGCCAATAGACAACATCTTGAGAGATGGCAAAAGATTGAAGTCGTCAGTTATTTAATCTTGCTTGGATCGGCAATCAATACCTTTGGTACCAGCAGTCAGGAGATCAGGAGACGTATTGCATTGGGCAAGTCCTCTGTCAGACCTCTCCAAAATACTTACAAGCAATGGTGTCCATTGAAGACTCAGGTGCGTCTGATTCAGGCCATAGTCTTTCTGATCACTTGCTGTGCATCTGGGTAATGAATCGGCGTGACAAAAGAAGTGATGACTTTGAGCTGGGATGTCGCAGAAGAATACTGAGCATCCCATGAACAGCCAGAAGAACTAATAGATTGTATCTTGGGGGCAGTGCAGCCAGAGTGCCCCTTGGAGGCAAAGGTGGAAAAGCTTTGTCTCTGATACTTTGGACGTGTTGGCACGAGAGGCTGTTTTTTTGGAAGGGGGATATCATGGTTGGAAGGATGGAGGGTCAGTGACAGAGAGGAAGACCCTTCACGAGATGGATTGATACGGTGACGGCCAGTGGGCTTCAGTGTGTGAGAGATGGTGAGGACGGCACAGGACCGGACGAGAGGTACGGGTCCACCTTGCTACTATGTCACATAGACATCCAACTGACTCAACAGTATTTACCAAACAGACTACTGTGTTTATACAGGTAACATATGCCAATTATACTTTTTTCCAACCAATGAATTGCTCTTCAAGTTACTTTCCTAGAAATGTTACGTGCATTTTCATCATTAAGCATGATTGTTCCTTATTATGTTGAGGAACATTCTAACCCAAGTTTGTTGCGAGTTTGTGTCATGAAACAGTTCGATTTTGCCCATGTTTTTCCCCAGTGAGATCTTCATGTGGATTTCATCCTTTGTCCTGTGGTGTGTTGCACGATCTCATTTTCACTGAATGAACCAGTCTTACATTCCTGAGATAAATCCCACTTGGTTGTGATGTGTAATCCTCTGCTCTGATCTCACTAAAATAAGAAAAATAAGCTCCCTCTTTCTAAGTAGGGTCCTATTCCCAGTTACAGACCTTAGGACTTAACTATTTGAGAAACTCGATTCAACTAATTGCACAGTGTTCTCAGGGATCCTGGGGGGAGAAGCCACGTGTTACCTCTTCCGTCTTCTGCCGTTTGACAGCTTTCCTCGGCTTCTGGTTAAGTCTTACCCGTCTCTGCCACTGTCCTTGGCTGGCCTTCTCCCCTGTGTGTATCTTACAAGGACACTTGTCAAAGGATTCCAGACCACTGAGAATGCTCTTGACTCAAGATGTTTAACTTAATTACATATTCAAAGACCTTTTTCCCCAATAAGGTCATGTCCACAGTTTCCAGGGATTAGAACATTGGCATATCAGGTTGGGGGTCATGGTGTTACCCATGGTGGACACATTTTAGTTGAGCTCCCAGATTAAAAAAGATTAGGTGGACCCTTCTAAAGATTAAATCCCTATGCACATCAAAACCTATTTCCCACAGAGTGGAGAGAAAACCCCTACTGACTGAGGAAAAAACCCCAAACATTTAGCAATTCCATTTCAGACAAGGGTCTCATATCAAGTTTACACAATCCTATAGGGCCTCTGCAAGGTAAAGACTGGTAACCCAGTTACAAAATGGGCAAAAGACATGGAAAGACTTTTCACAGAAGAAGACATTTGGATGACCAACAGACACATGAAGAAATGCTCAAAATCACCGACACTAAGAGAGATGTCAATCAAAACCACAATGAGGTACTATCTCACCCCAGTAGCAGTGGCAAAGTTTAACAGGACAGCAAGTAATAAATATTGGAGAGGATGTGGAGAGGTAGGAACTCTGACAGACTGTTGGTGGGATTGCAAAATGGTACAACCACTCTGGAAGGCAATTTGGAATTTCCTCAAAAAGTTGAACATAGAAATTTCATGTGACCCAGCTATTCACTGCCTTGGAATATACCCTGAGAAAATTAGAACTGAGACACAAAACGCAGTAGTCTATCATGTGAATGTGCCATGATTTCTCAATCCGTTCGACTGTGGTTGGACAATTGGAACATTTCCATGTTCTTGCAGTGGTCCATCCAGGTGGCCCGCAGCAGGACTTCATTGTTTATGGCTGGGCCTGTTCCGTTGTAGGTCAGCTCTGTGTTGGTTCCACCTGGAGGGCTCTGAGGGTGAGAGTGAGAGTTTGCCTTTTTATCTTAGTAACTAGGGGTCCTGGTGGCACGGTGCCTTACGTGCTGGATCCTCTCCGCAGTGCAGACCCACCAGGAACCCCAAAGGAGGAAGACGGACAGCTGTTTCCTGTTGCTGGTGGGAGTAGACAGTGGTACCGCCGAGGTGCAGGACAGATGGTGGTTCCTGAAAGAGTTGGGCGTGGTCACAGTGGTGGGTGTCGAGACAGGACTGACTCACAGCTGGCCCTCAGCGGGTTTTCAGTCAGTGAGTCACACGGGAGATTGCCGTCTTTCTCCGTGAGCTACTAGTGGATTCGAACCACATGCCTTTGGGTTGACAGCGTGACTTCTCATCACCAGAGACCCCTCATACTCCAAAGATTGACAGTCTCAGAAACCCGATGCAGGGTCGCTGTGAGTCACAGCGGGCTGGGCTGTCGTTGGTCATCTGGGCCACAGGCCACGTTGCAGTGCATAATTTGCTGGTATGGCCATTCTTAGCTTGCAGATGTTTATGGTGGAATGTTTCCAACACCCAGAGACGAATCAACAGGAGACTGACAGTAACAGTGGTCGTAATGGCAGTACTGATGTTAGGTGCCGTCGAGTCACATACGACTCAGCAACCCGGGAGCAGTGGATGTGAGCCCCACCCTAGCCCACACCATCCTGACCTCACTGGAGGTCTTCCTCTCCTTTGCTGACCCTCCACCTACCCAGGCATAATGTCCTTTCCCAAGGACTGGCCCCCTCCTAAAAACATGACCGAAGTATGTGAATAGTAATGTAAGAAAAAGAGAGAGAACTTGTGTCAGAATTGCCCTGTGACGGAATCATGAGGACGGAGCTGAATGTGGAAGCCACAGACATATAACAACTTGGAGGCCGCGACACCCGGTTCAGGCGCTGTCAGCGCTCCCGGTCACCCACCCTGTGCTTCTCCTCTGTGCAGTGACTCCACGGAGACCCCCTGCTCCACAGACGAGGCCAGGCCCGAGGCGGCACCGCCAGCCCTGCCCGCTGCCCCTGCGGTCACCAGAGAGAAGATCCGGTCCCGGTTCCACAGCAGCCGCGACCTCATCCACCGCCTCTTCGTCTGCATATCAGGTGCGATGCGGGGTCCGCAGCTGGTGGTGGCTCGAGGGCCACACCTGTGTTCCCAGGAGGGCTGGGGCCGCCCCGCCGGTGCCCTGCGTGAGCTGGTGGATGTCACCTTGTGAAGGCACCATGCCCGGGGCTTCACAGCATGTGAAGAAATGATTCTGTGTCCCTGTGGATGTGTCAGCGAATGCAGTCAAGCACTGACTAGCTAAGAGTTTGGCAGTTCCCATCTGCCCACCCCACTCTGGGTGCCAGGAGACAAACTATGCTCCAGAGAAACCAGCACAAGAGGTCCCTGCAGCTCTGCGCTGACACAGGTGCTGAGGGCTCAGTGGGACTCCACGGCCCCCAGGGCCCTGGTGTCAGGTGGACGCTGTCGCCTCACGCCTTGGCCTCAGCCCTCTCTAGGCTCTGTCTAATTTGTACTTCAGATTTTAGTGTGATGAATTGTGAGTTCTTCCTTCTCTTTGGTTAATTAAACAGTGGAACACAAGGGAAGTGACAGAGGGCAACGAAGGGGGTGGGGAGTTTGACGTTTGAGGGTTTTTGGTTATTATTTCTTTTTTTGGCTTGTGAAGGTTGACAAATCATGCCAGGTTTTCTTTCACCCAGTGCTTCACGCCTGTCATGTGTTGTAGGGTCAGCCATGTCTCCTGGTTTATCCAGGAGCTCTGAGACGTGGTCAGCCGCAAGTTGCCAGGCTCGCACAAAGCAGGCACCTCTCTGGCAGAATCCACCAGCTGCTCCCAGAAGGGAGATGGGCTGCCTCCTCCAGTGCCGTTTGCAACCGTGGAAAACCCACCCGAGGCTCAGCCGAGTCAGTTCTAATGGGGCGGCGAGGAGTTCGCATCTGCCTTTTAAAGAGCAGTGTCTTTAACTTCTTCCTTCCAGCAGCTATGTGAGCGGGTGTGCTGTGTACATCCAGAGTGTGTGAGGTGTGTGTATGTGGTGGATGGTTGACACAGAACCTGTAGATGTACGTGTGGTATCCTGGTGTGCGTGATGTGCAGCTTGTGCCTGTTAGTGCACTGTGTATGGGCGTGTGGACTGGTGTGTACACGGGAGTGGTGGTTTTACATGTGTGTGTCACAGTGGAGGGGGTACCTGTGTATAGTCAGTCTGTGTGGTGTATATGTGGTATGTGTGCATTTGTGTGTGTGGTTGCTGTGTGTTGTGTTTGCATGTGTGTTGAGTGTGTGTGTGTGGTCAGTCCAAATTACTGAGGAATAATGACGTCGGTTTAGGGGCTGAAGTGCAGCCCATATTCTTTCCAGTCACTTGCTGAGAGAGAGGGACAGTGAATAAGAAGGACGGAAGAATTGCAGCCTTTGAGCTGTGGTGTTGGAGAAGAGCACTGAACAGCCCATGGATGGCCAAAAGAACAAACAGATGTGTCTTGGAAAAGGTGTAGCTCTCTGGAGACAAGAGTGATGAGGCTTTGCCTCACATACTTCAGGCGTATTGATAGGAGGGACTGTTCTTTGGAGAGGGACATAATGCTGGGGAGGATGGAGGGTCAGCGAAGGAGAGGAAGACCCTCGACCAGGTGGACTGACACGGTGACTGCTGCAAAGGGCTCTCGTGTGTCAGGAAGTGTGAGGATGGCGCAGGATAGAACAGAGTTCAAATTGTTGTTCATAGGGTCACTGTGAGTCTTGTTCATTTTGACAACCACAACTTATAAATGGTTAGTGTGTATGTGCCATGTGTATGTTCATGTGTGTGGTTGATGGATATAGGTGCATGCGTGTGTGCGGTTGATGTGCATTGGGGGGGTTTGTGCATGTTGTGTATATGTGTCTGCATGTGTGTTGAATGTGTGTTTGCAATGTGGTTGGTAGAGGGATTTGTGTGTGTGCCCCAAGGCCCCAAGTGGGCCTTTCCCAGGCCTCAGGAGATTCCCACCTGAGATCTCAAGACAGCTGTCCTCCTGCCAACATCACCTGCGTGTGTTTTAAGAGTTTGTTCAGGGCTCACGCAGCCTGGCCCATAGCCCTCTGGAAGGAGACCTGGCTGCAGTTAGACCTTAGCATTCCAGGGTACACTGAGGTTCTCCCCCCTTTCTTTGAGTGCCAGCAGCAGCCTTCCCCCCGATGTGCCTCTCACATAGACCAGAATCTCCTTCTCTGCTGGGAGAGTGGGCATCACCTGCTGCCTTGGAGGGCTGGTGAGCAGAGAGGTTACAGCGAAGTGGCTACTGGTTCCACCTGCAGGCAAAGTTCCAGATTCTTGGCACCTGGAGACTCTTGGGCACATGGCCAGATGGGCAGCAGTGGGTGGACAGTCGTTGCAGGTGGGGTCTGAATGCCTTGGTAGCTGGACCAGCAAAGGTGGCGGGAGCCATCAGGGTGGGTGTCATATGGACATATGGACCCTCCACCAAGGAGCGTCCACTTTGTCGTGGTGGCTGCGTGAGTCACAGACCAGTGGGGTCATAGGAGCTGGGTCTCTCTTTTCCCTCATTCTCTCAACTCTGGATTTTTACTTGTCCTGAGGGGCAGGGCAGCCTTTCATGGACCCGAGGACAGGACGACCTTGAACCCCGAGCCCTGGCATAGAGAGAGCATCACGCTTCCCAAGTTGCTAACCTGCCCGTCCCACTGTGACCCTCCTCCAGGTGTGGCCGACCAGCTGCAGACCAACTACGCCAGTGACCTCAGGAGTATCCTCAAGACGCTCTTTGAAGTCATGGCCACCAAGCCAGAAACGGACAACAAGGAGAAACTGAAGAAAGGTAACGCCCTCAGAGCAGGTCCTGGGCCAGTACCTCGTCCGCAGAAAGTGGGGTGCAGAAAACCACACCTCTGAGCCCCCCCCCCGTTCCCCCAGCAGACACAGCCCCCTCCCTCGGGTAGAAGGTGCTCAATGACCTACACAAACCAAGTGAAAGCAGGTGGAGTGAGGCGCCTGGTTACTAGAGGTGGGTCGGTGGGCGTGGTTACCGGGAAAGTAGGCCCGAGGGGCGTGGTTATTTGGCAAGGTGGGCCAGGACAAAGGGGCGTGGTTTCCTAGAGAGGTGGGACCTAGAAGGAGGCTGTCTCTTGGTGACCAAGGAGGATGGGTAGAGGCGGGGGGCGTGGTTACAGCAAGAGGCGTGGCCAGTGTTAAGTGGGACCCAGGTGGCGTGGACACTCCGGGCAGGCCCCACCCACGTCCTCTGCTCCCGGCCCACACTTCCTGGGGCACACACCTTAGGACAGGTGAGATACCTAAGAAGTTCCAACCATGTGAGAAGTGCCATGTGAGATGCCCAGACCCCAGACACACGGTATCTGCCTCTCCATGAAGGGTCACAGAGCGGGTGACTGACTTGATCACACGTGCGTGTACACACACCTCACAGGCCATGCTCTCATCCATAGTGACAGACACGACCTGCATGGAAGCAGCCAGGCCGGCCGGCTGTGGAGCCGGGCTTCTGCGCTGTGTGGTCTGCCTGTCGCAGAGGGTGGGGCACTCCCCTGAATGCTTGGGGGGTGAATACTCAGCAGAGCATCGTGGGACGTGTGCATGACCATACGACATGGTCTGGGGCTCAGTTCCAGGCCCCAGGGTGGGCCCCGCCTGCCAGCCCGCCTGCCAGGATGGAAAGTGCCTTGCCGTGTGGAATGAGGGCCAAAGGAGGCCTGTTTTGGGTGCTATGGGCACATCTCCTGAGCCCCCTCAAGACCTCAGCCATGCTAGAGTCCCATCCCAAACCCCTCGTCCTTCCAAGAGGCTCTGGCTGGGCCTCAGGTCGCATGGCCCCCTGAGTGGCTCTGTGTGGATCTAGGTCTCTTTTCATCCGGCATCCTGGTGAGGAGAGGGGGTCAGGAAGGGAGGTGGTGCCAATCACGCTTCATGAGAATGGGGAGACTTGCTCAAGCCCAGCCTTGCCTGGACCTCATAGCCAAGCCCTTGTACCCCAATCCTAGTTTTGAACCCCAGGACTCAGTGCCCTGAACCCCAGTACCCTAGAGCCAATTTTGGTGCTCTGCTTTCTGGGGCTCAGCCCCCCTGCACCCTCACTCTTCACTCCTGGGCCAGCAGACAAGAACTACAGGGGCTGTGCTCTGTGTACCACACGTTGTGGGGTGCCCCGAGGATCAGGCTCTGCTGGCAGCCCCTCCCTCACCCCGTGTGGTGTTCAGGCCCCTTCACCCCCAGGACTCTCCTGTCCCAGGACTGAGGACCACACCACCTATGGCCACTCTGCCTCTTACAGGCACCCAGACGTTGCGGAGCACGGCGCTGGAGGACTGTGCCCTGTGCCAGGAAACACTGTCCTCCTCCGAGCTCACCGCCAAGGCCCGGGACGGCGACTTTGAAGGTACAGGAGCTGAGCGGAGCCAGAGTGCCTCAGAGAGAGGCACGAGCTGTTTTTCTGGATGTTTCTACCCAGCCAGGGAGCTGTTTGCAAACAGCTAAGGTCACATTAGGCTAAAGCTAACACCTGGTGGGCTGGGGCTGGGGCTGTCGACGAGGAGAGAATGCCCAGCACTGAGTTGAGCTGAGTTTCATCGTTTCTTAACCCCCTCATCCCATCACTGCTAACGGGCCTAGGTCATGAGTAACCAGGTGCACTGGGTGCTGGCTGGGTAAGGCCTGGGCGGGGGGCGGGGCCCCTCCCAGCATGGCTTAATTGGGGCTCTCAGAGAACAGAACCAGTGTGATGTGCGTCTATACATACACATGTGTGCACCAACATGCATACCTGTATGTACACACGTGCAGATGCAGACACACATGCGGACACACAGAGGCAGAGCTCGGAGGCATGCGAGGTTGGTCCCAGACCGCCACAAGGACGTGAACGTTGGAAGACAGGGAGTCACACCAGGGTGTTGGCTTCCCCGTGTATATAACAGTTGTGCTTACGCTGCAGTCTAGTGCGGTGGCGTTAGGAGAAAGGTTGAAATAGTGGGAGAATGACCAAAATGTGATGGAGACATGCACAAGCGCGTGCTGTTGGAAAACCAGTCACGGTGGACTCTGTAGGCACGGTTGTCACAGACCTGCAGTTCCCAGGAAGCGTGGCAGAGTGAAGCACAAGAAAAGGAGGTGTGTGCGTGCACGTGTGTGTACAAGGGCGCTCACACAGTGAGGGAGGGAAGGAGCCCTGGCGGTACCGAAAGGTCAGAGGTCCAAACCCACCAGCCGCTCTACCTGAGAACAAGGCAGCCCCCTGCTCCTAAAGGTTATGGCCGTCAGACTCCTGTGGGGCGGTTGTCCTGGGTGGGTCACTGTGGATCAGAATCTACCCCGCTGCATATGTGTGTGCACGCGCACACACACACACAGAGACATACACAATACAGTCACTTCACAGAATTGGCTTGTAGGATCAGACGAGGTGAGGTAAGGCAGCTTGAAGATCGGACGAGCTCTGATAAAGTCATTTCAGAGGCAGGAGGCAAAGGGCATCCTGGAAACACACCCTTTTACTCTACAGACCTCGAGCTGTCGGACAAGGCCTACCTTTGTTGAGAAGGTTGTCATTAGATGAGTCCAACTGATTTAACCTCATCACTTTTTCACACTAACAATAGGGTTGAATGTGTCATGGACCATGAGGTGGTCAGAACTGGGTGATGCTTGGCCTGTCGTATATCAGCTCTGCGTCAGTCAGAGCTGACCAGCTGGCTGGAAACCGCAGCCTGGCCAAGAGGACACCAAAAAGTAACCGTTGAGGTGGCCTGGCCTGGGCCAAGGTGCCTAACTGGGATTTGATTAAGAAATGACTGTCACAGTGACTGGAGTTGAAGGGGCCCCCGAGGGTAGGAGAGCCCTAGCTGGGCCACCGGTCAGAGACTGTGCTGACCCCCTGGCCCGCCGTCATCCCAGTTGACACTCTCTGCTCTCATTGTGACAGACCCCCCTGAGTGGGTGCCAGATGAGGCCTGTGGCCTGTGCACCACCTGCAAAGCCCCTTTCACCGTCATCCGCCGGAAACACCACTGCCGGAGCTGCGGGAAGGTAGGCCGGGCACTGGGTGGCATGTCTATGGTCAGCCCCAGCCCTGCACCCAGATGCCCCCGAATGTGCACCCGGCTGGCCCAGCTCAGAACAGCTGTGCACCAGTGCTTGTTCCATTGAGTGGAGGGTGCCAGTGCCCTCATTAGCCAT